ATTTAAGGTTAAGTTTTTTTTTTATATTTTACTTAGATATTGTATACGTTAATTTTAAATATTGCTTTAAAACTTTTTTTAATTTTAAAAACTATAACTTAGTTACTGATAACATTAATTTTTTAAAATTTAGTTTTAAATTTAATATAATTATAAATTTTCAAATAAATAATTTTTATTAATAAAAATTACTATCTTTTTTGTGTAGATATATAGCGTTATCACTTCTCCTATTATATATATATATATATGTATTATTTATAAAAAAGGATTTTTTTTTTTAAATTACAATTATTAACAATTTAAAATATTAAAATCAACATCTAAGTTTTATATATCACATAAATTAAAATTAAAATAATAACAATGCATTGACTTAGAAAGTGTTTAGCAAACTTAAAAATAACTTTAAAATATCTTTAAAAAAAGTTTAAATTAAAAGTAGGTATTATCCCCTTCTTATTTTTTAACTTAAAAATTATTGTTTTAAGACGAGCTCTAAGCTAGTACGGTTCATGTATCTAATAGGCGGTGAAGTGACTTTGGGAAAATGGATGTTAAAAATTGAAATTGGAAGGCGGTGAAAACATGTATTGAGATAAAGAGAAATAGATAATAGCCACTATAGCTATTCTTTTTTCGTTTTTATTTTCCTCAATAAAAAATACAGGGCAATGGGTCAGCGATGCACTTATTAGCATGTTTTGGCAGCCGAAATTAGTAAATCTTAATTTTGTTTTGCTACTAAATTCTTAATGGGTATGCAATTCTATTTGTTTGGCTAATTTCAATTGTGTTAAAGGGTACACAGTTTATGTATTGAGTTTATTTGAGGAATAGATAAGGGCCATTGGAGCTATTTTTTTTTCGTTTTAATTTTTCCCAACAAAAATACAAGGCACTGGGTCAATTCCGATGCACTTATCGACATGTTTTCGCTGCCGAAATCAGTGAATCTTGGCTTTGTTTTTCTGCTAAATTCGTAATGGGTACTCAATTCTATTTGTTTGGCTAATTTCAATTGTATTAAAGGGTACACAGTTCAATGTGCTGGGTTTATTTGAGAAATAGATAAGGGCCACTAGAACTATTCTTTTTTCATTTTCATTTTCCCCAACAAAAATATA